GGCACTCTTTATTCTTAACACTGGCTATCAGATCATTTAATGTCAGAGGAAGAAAGAACCTCAAAGGTTTGCTAGTAAATACCATGTGCCTGCTGCCACCTTCCCCTCCCAACACTGACAACTGAGACTAGTCCACTGCAGAACAACCAAGTGATTGTTCTGAATGCGCATCAAGGCTGGCTGTCTTAAAATGCCTGCCCTTAGTTATCCAGTTGACTCAATGAGGCAGAGTACAAAATCCTTCCCTTCTGGGAAAGCTACTTACAGATGCGTCTTAAAGGTGCCAGACCAGTATAAAGACAACACTCCAGAGGTTGTCTCTCCCACCTTCCCCATTTTACAGAGATAAATTGAAGCCTAGAGAAAAGAGGAAATTTGACAAAGGTCACATTACTAGCAGAATCCAGATTAGATCATAGGTCTCCAGATTTCTAATCCAACATTACTTCTAGCATGTGAAACTGTTTCTAATCAGTTGCAACAATGGCAGCATAATACTGAAAATAATGCCAATGTTAATACTACCCTTAATAGTATTGCTGCAGTTTGTCGATCTGTTTCAGGCACTGTGCATGTTACACACAATATTTATGATACCCTCTAGTAAAGCTCTTACAATGTCTAATGCTTGTAATCTTCAGAAGCTTGAATCATTATTTCTGATACCCACCTCCCTCAAAAGAGGATGAAACAGCAAAATCCCTGCATATACAAGATGTAACCGTCTCTAACGATCCATTCCACTATGAGGATGGAAAAGGAAAATCCAATCCACCAAGTAGCTAACTTGCAATTTAGCCATTCAAGTCAACCTTCTCTGCTCCATGACTTCTCTTGATCTATGTCATGAAAAGGAACAGTCTCCTGACTGAAGCTTGTCCCCTTTCTCCTACTGAGTTTATCACTTGGTGAAAAACCTAACAAGCTATAACATAGACAAATGGTGGCCTGACAGTCCCCAATTAAAGCGGCCCCTTCGTAACATGTTAGATGGCTTGAAGGGGAAGAAAAAGTAACACCACATCAATCCTCTCTGCTACATTATCTTTCTACCCAGTAGTTCCATCACCCTTTACACAAGCCAAATTGGACACACACCTGTTTTCCTTTCTTACGCAGCTGCTGAGGCGCTCTTGAATTTTCTCAGTGGTAAGCATTAGTACTTCTAATTTTACCATGGAGAATTTTTCTTCTCTTGCCCAAATTCAGTTGACTCTGAAGTTTTGGTACTTTTTTTATTTTCAGTCACAAAGTTTTCTTCTTTTGTTATTTATGATCTTTTAATCATTTTTCTTAACAAAGATCGTATGATTTTCTCCCTTCTTTCTGTTTTTTTCCTGAAATATTCTTTTTATCAGTTCTATTTGTCTTTATTTCCACATCAGAAATACCACACTGGACACAGTAAACAGGCTCCCAAAATGTTTGTGTACACAAGTTATGTTTAAAATGCAGTAGGGATTATCCAGCCCTGATCCCTGAATCACTTGTACTGTGAACTGCCTAATAAATTGAACCAGCCTCCCCACAATAGAACAATAAAATAGAAATAAAAAGGAAGGGAGGAAAGAAGGGAGGAAAGGAAGATCCATGGATGGAGTCTTGAAGAAAAAAGGTACTTTCAAATCAACTGATATTGTTTGCTGTTTCATCTTTTCTTTTTTTGATGAGCTCCACAAGCGTACAATATTCATGACATTGTTCAATTAAGTTTTAACAATCCAACCATCTCTATTTTCACCCTCTGCATTCTTCTAGAGCTATAAATCAAACAAGCCATCTTCTATTGGGAAGGATGATGAATTGCAAAGAGCATGGTGTTTGGGGCCAGAGAACCTGGCTGCCATTCTGTTTTCTCCACTTCTACCTGTGTGACCATCTCACCATCGCAAGTGACTTATTTCAAAGCCTCTTTTCCTTGTTTGAAAAATGCCCATCAGAACTTAAGAAAATTAAATCTGCTTCACTAACGTTTCTTCCTTAGTTTATTGGAAGGGTCTCTCATTGTACATCTTCCATCTTGACGTCTCTAATTATGGACAATGGCATGGGGTTGAGGGGGCGGTTAACCTCGGATCTTGGGTATGATGAAATCCTGGCAAGTTCTGCTTCACCTTGTAACATCAACCCCTGAGTCTTTTAACTATTAAAGATATTAAAGTACATTACAGTTACCTTGTTTTGAGAGTTTTCTGGAATTTCACAATTATCTTCAGATAGTTGGAGGCACACTGTGGGAATGGGGTGGGGACTCAGACTAGTGATCACCATCCTGCAATGTTCCTAAAGTCTCTTATGTAAACTAAGAATTCAACTGAAGTCTCTACACTAACAACTCCGTGTTTCAGCATCTTTGCCTGACATTTTACTTAATGTTTCCCTTTTCCTCTGCACATCCCTGCAAAAGAGATGTAAGTTAAGATTCTAACTTAATAACCTTTTATAAGGATTTACTTAGCAATTTATCATAATTCAGAGCACATAATTGAGTTGTTAATATTTGGTCTTCTACTATAGAAGTAACTATTGGTATTTCTATTGCACAGGTGGAGAGATCTGCAAGGTGACCAAGATCATACAGAAGAATAAGAAGGAGGAGGCAGAGGGAAGGAGGAGGAAGAAATTTAGAATTAGATTCATTAGAACTACCTTCCATGCTTGAGCTCCCTTATCTGTAAAATGAAAATTAAAATAGCACCTCCTTCACAGGATTATTATGGGGTTTAAATGAAAGGCTCTTAGTCCAGTGTCTGGCATGTATGTATATATCAAGAGCTCAATAAATATCATCATCTCCTATTATTAAAGGAAAAAAAGATAACATCACTTACTTTTCAAAGATATTGTCAGAATTAAGATAGCCTTTTTTTTTTACCTCTTTGCCCATTTATCTGGCTCACCAGTGAGAGATGAATTTGATTAAAATTAGATCCCTTACCTCCTTTATAAGTGACTTTATACCATCTATCAGTTATGAAAACTAAATGTACTCATAATTATTGTTTCCCCCAAATAGTTTTAACTTCTTGAGGACAGGGACTGGGTCTTACATTTCTTTATACTCACCACAGTGACCTGCATAATGTGCTGAACATAATAGATGTTCAATACATAGCTGTACTTTAAAAAACACCATTGTTACCATTAGCAAAGAACACCAAAGGTTCCCAGAACAAAGGATATTTGACAAGGCTTCTTTGGGATTTGGCTTCCTTTTTGGGGGATGGGAATGGCAGGGGGGTTAGTGTTTGGATTTCTTTACTGGTTAGTCTAAATAAATTTACATATAAAAGTTCAGAGCACTGCTGTGTCATTACAAAGATGACAAATAATTGGCTATAGAACAATGCAAGTGCAATACTAAAAAAAATAAGTCCACAACTGACAAATGATGTGTAACATCTACTGTACTTAGAGGATTCTACTCCCACAAAAATCTTACATGTACTTTAGAATTTTTTTCACACTGGAACTCATTCCAATACACAAAGATTCAGAGCTTACCAAAATTTGGGGACTTACCATCTTATGTAAACATCGTAATATTCAAGAAACATGACAAAAGATTTTAAAAAGGCTTTCAGAGCCTTTTATGACTAACAAAGTGATAGTAATGAATTGAGGATTTCACATTAAAATGAGGAGGAGAGTATCAGCTCACAGACACTAAGGTCCTTCCAGTTATATGTGGGGCAGAGAGTTAGGACACTACACCATTCCTTGTTAAAGGGAAACGAGAACCCAGTGTTTGTCCAAGTGGGGGTGGCTATAATGTTAAGACTGAGGCGCAAAGAAGGCAAGGAGCACAGAGTCTGGGGCCAGAAACTTGTTAACACTATTTCTGTGAAAGTGTTGTTTTCCATATCTGTAAAATGAGAATACTAATAACCACTTCACTGGGTTTTTAAAGAGTTATAGAGGATGACAACATGCCAGGTACATAGTAGGTGCTCAACAAAGATTTTATCTACCTGGGGATCCACTTGGGGATTGTAATAATTATCCAATTTTTTTAAAGATACAGACTAATTTCAACCTGTTTTTTAGACATACCAGAGTACTGTTTTTTTTGTATGCTTTTGGGCCACTATTGAAAGACCTATATCTAGACTTTAATCTATAATATTTTAATAAAAAGACAATATTTTGCATTGTAAAATAGGCACTTTTTTGCCCAAATTTTTGAGGGAGAAATAAGTATGTGCATGATATACATGGGTAGTACCTGAAATACCTTGTATATGTTCTTCTGTGTTGTAATTATTTGTTACATAAACTTTCTTGTACCATAATATGTTAAAAAATACATGCTAAAATTCCCTTATAATACAAAAGACAAGTATCTAAATACAAATAAATAAAAAATTAAATTTAAACAATTAAAACAAAAGATTTTCCCCCCTGAAAGTTTGGGCCAAAAACGTGGGTGAGCATTACGCGTGGGAGCGCATTCAGACTTTTATTTCTTGACTCCTGAAAGAGACTTTTCACAGATGAACAAACTGAGGCTGGCCGGCCGCTCGCCCCAGAGCGCTCCGCGAGTGACCGGCGGGACAGGTACTGCGGTCCGTCCACAGAGGCCACAGGAAGCAGCTGCCCAAAGCGGAGCACTCCGCCCCCCTCCCTGGTGCAAGAAGGGTAAGCCCGCTCCTTAGGATCTCAGGGGAGGTCCCAGTTCAAGCCCCTAGTCATGCCCACGGGCCTGGACCAAGGCTGGACCCTGAAGGGTTGCCCTCTGCCGTTTTCCAGCTGGCACCCCCCTCACCTCCTCACCCACCCCTGACTCTGTGTCTGGGACTCAGCCCGCGCGCCCCCTCCCCTCCGTCTAGCCAAACCCCGACCAGCCCAGCACCTCAAGCGAACATCAGAGCCTAGAGAGCGAGGACCTTAATGAGGAGAGGCCACCACCCAAGTTCCCCGGGAGAAGCAAAGAATCACTGAAGCCTGGGCATTGAGACCCTGAGCTCGGCCGTGCCCCACCCAAGCCCCTGCTCACTCACCGCTCATCGATGGCACACGGGCCCCAAGGCCCGGGTGTGCTCGGGAACGCATGCGTTGCGCTCGCAGAGGCAGCTCGGGTCGTCCCAGCATCAGCGTCCCTCTGGGGCCGCCGAGCCGCCTGGGAGACCCCGAGGGTGGGCACCCCGCACGGGGCAGCGGAGGGCAAGCGGAGGACAAGCGGGAGGCTCGGCCCACCGGCACCTGCGGTTTCTGCGCTGCGGCAGGAGCGGGCCGCGACCCCTGGCCGCCGCCGGGGGCTGTGCCTTGTCTCCTGGAGCAAGGCAATCGGCTTCCCCTCACGTGAAGTGCGGAGGGTGAAGGCTGTCTCCTCAGACGGCACGACGACTGAGTTGGCGTGCTGAGTTCCGCACCGAAGTTGTGATGAGTGCGACAAAAATTGTGTTCTGGGTTTTCACAGCCACAGAGAAGTGTCACTTTGTTGGCGGTAATGAGAGAACTTTTTCTGAGATGTTCTTCCTCTGTGCAGTCTGAGCTCTTGGCTCTCACCACACCTTAGGGCTGTGGCCTCCAAAGTGGGTTGTGTGCAGGGCTGGGGTGACAAGAAAATATCAGAACTTTCATTTGTGTTTGCTATCTAAAAAATAAGAAGGAAGTGAACATTTAACAGACGGCGTGACACCGACCCTAAATAGCCCTATGTTCTATATATTATAAGTGGGATTCTGAGGGAGGAAGAATGCACTGCAGAATGTGCAGTGGGGATGACAGTGGTGCCTTTATGACAGTATTTCATTGAATATAGGAATTCATCAACTATAAGATATCCATTTTTTTATGTACCAGTAAGAATGAAAAGAACTGTCACATAAACAAAGCTTTCTTATCTTTCTTACTTGATTCTCAGCTTCGTCCGTTCTACTGTTGTTACCCTGTAAATTCTTCTTTATTTAAATTAGTGTGGCCTTCATTTCTGACAGAATCTTTTTTATGTTGCTGAGGTCCTCACCCAGTTCCTTGAGCATCCTTATAAACAGTGTTTTGAGCTCTGTATTTGATAGATTGCTTTTTCAAAATTTTATTTTAGTCATTGTTCAAGTACAGTTTTCTGCCTTTTATTCCCATTCCAGCCCACCCACCCATCCCTCCCCCCCGCCTCCCATTTCCACCCTCCCCCTAGTTTTTGTCCATGTGTCCTTTAAATTTATTCCCGTGAACCCTTCCCATTCTCCCCTGAAATTCCCTCTTCTCTCCCCTCTGGTCTCTGTCAGCCTGTCCTCTATTTCAGTGTCTTTGGTTATATTTTGCTTGTTTCTTTGTTTTGTTGTTTAGGTTCCTGTTAAAGGTGAGATCATATGGTATTTGTCTTTCACTGTCTGGCTTATTTTGCTTAGCATAGTACTTATCTCTATTTCATTTAGCTCTTTTTCTGGAGTTTTGATCTGTTCTTTCATTTGGGCCATGTTTCTTTGTCTCCTTGTTTTGGCAGCCTCCCTGTGTTTGTTTCTATGTATTAAGTAGAGCTTCTTTGACTCTGTGTCTTGGTAGTGTGGCCTAACATAGTAGGTATCCTGTAAGGTCCAGTGGCATAGCCTCCCCTATCACTGAAACTGGGTACTCAAGGTGCACCCTTCTTGTGGGCTGAGTACACCCTCTTCTTGTAATTGAGGCTTGATTGCTATTGGAAGATCAATGGGAGGGATTTACCCAGGCTAGTCAGCTGAAAGGACTGGCCACATGTGACCACTGACCACCAACTTCCACCCTCTGTGGAGGATCAGCTGTGCAGGGGCAGGGTAGTGGTGCTCCAAAGTGATCTGTAGCTGTCAACTGAGTGCACTGGCCCTGGAGTTTCCTAGGTGGTGCAGACCAAGGTTAGCCCCTGTCTGTGTTTTGCCCAGAGCACCCTGCCTGAGCTATAAAGCAATCTGAGATGGGTGCTAGTTGTACTGGGTTTAGAGATTCCCAGATGAAGTCAAATTGTGAATCTAATCTGGCTGCTGCTAGGGCTCACTGAAGCCAGCTGTTGATTGTTTGATAGGTTTTAGGAGCCAAGATCAGACATTCTCATGGAAAAGCAGCTCAGGTAGGCCCATAAATTGAGTGGGGCAGAGACTCTGGGGATATCCAAGGCAGGTCAAACAGTGTTAGCCAAGTTGATGGAGTCTCAGATATGTCACAAGCTTGCTGGCTCTGTGGGGGAAGGGTTTAGCAAAGGAATAATGTCCTCCACTCACCTTGATGCCAGACACTTCAGTTTCTCCCTGTATATATACCACTGGTACCTTTCAAGCTGCTACCCTGGTTCCAGAGCTCAGAGAGAGTGAGTCTGAGAAGGCAAGTCCATGTGTAAATTCTTCAAGAGGAACTGCTTGGGGCTCCAGAAGTTTCTTTCACTGTCTAAATCCTAGTTGGGTTTGCAGCTAGAAGTTGTGGAGGCTTAGCTTCCTGGCACTGAAATCCTGGGCTGGGGGGACTAGTGTGAGTCTGAGATTTCTTACTCCCAAGATATCCCTACTGAATTTTTATCCACTACACATGGATGTTGGACCAACCCATTCCGTGTCTGCACCCCTCCTATCAGTCTGGATGGATGTGGTTTCTTTAATTCCGTACTTGTCAGACTTCCATTCAGCTTGATTTTGTTGTTATCAGACTCCTATTCAGCTCAATTTCTGATGTTCCTGAGTGATGGTTGTTCTATATTTTAGTTGTAATTTTGATGTGGTTGTGCGAAGAGGCGAGCCCTGTCTACCTATGCCACCATCTTGACTGGAAGTCTAAGGCAGTATTTCTTAAAAGAGTGTCTTATTAATATCTCTGGGATATTCTTCCAGTCCACTAAAACCAATTCAGGTTTGCTGAGCATATATAGAGTTAACTATGTTACCATACTATTTGGGTAGTAGGCATAAGATAAGATGTTAAATTTTAATTTATGTGGACAATCTGATAGAAGTAAATCTTTTAAATTGTAAAATTTTAAAATTACTGTGTAGTAAGATGATAAATAATTGTGAAAATCACTTGCAACAAAGATAAAAGAATACTTTTAGTTAAAAGTGAGTTATAGTTTATTTGTCTCTTTTACAAAAAAGCACATATTCTAAATTTGCTGATCTTTTCTGTTATATCTGTCTCTTAGTAGTGTGTTGCATAATAGATTTTTCTTAAAAAAAAAATCACAGGCTTCTTTGTCCCTTCAAGGTAGTTAACATTTTAACACTGAGTGAGAACTTGCAGTGAAAAGAATATTTGAAAACAAATATTTCAAAATGTTGCCATTAGTGGGGGGAGTGGTTTGCTAAAAATTACATAAATTTTTCATCTACAAAAAATACTTTAAAAATCATGGAAACAATTTGCTATCTTGTTTCAGTATTTCAACTGAGTAGTTTACTGAATTTTTAAGCCATTTCTTAAAAAATATGAAAATGCAGAAGCTTCTAATTAGTTTGAAAGGACAACTGATTAGTATCAGGAATAATAAAATTATGGTAACCAAATAATTAGCCTGTATAATTTATGGATTAGCTTATTTTTCAATAATTTTTAGTGAGAAGAAAGGCTTTTATTTTGTTAACAATTATTCCAAAAAGTATTTTCTCTTTATTTTAAAATTTAATTTATTTTTGTGTACATTTTACCATATACATTTGCAATGTATATTTATTTACACATATAAAATTTATAGGTAAATGAAAACACAACTGAACATATATTAGGGTGTATTCTCAAATCCCTTTTTTCTGAAGGAATGCATAATCTAAAATATTTAAAGACTACTGGTCTATTAACTTTTATTGCAACATCTTACAAAATTGCTATTTTAGACACAGGATGGAGTTCCAAGTGCATCTGAGCTATTTTCTTTAGGGAAACAGATGAGAGGTATTGGGCTTAAATCTGATTATAAAGTAATCTAACTAATGATGGAATGCAATATAATGCAGGCAACAATGACAGTCTTCTTTATTCTCTTCTTTTTCCTAGATGCAAATAAATCAGATGATCGATCTTACATAAACATTTTTAGAGAAATTATCGTCTTCTAAATCCATCAGTGTATCATTCAATTTAACGTTTGAGACCAGGGGAATACTTGTGCTAATAGTTGTAACAGCAGTTCTCTCATCCCTTCTCCCTCCACATCCTCTCTGCATCATAAGTTTCACGAATGCAAGGACCACATCTGCCTTCTTTGCTTCCTTATTTCCAGCATCTGGCACAGTGAGTGGCAAAGGACAGGCACTCAACAAACATTTACTGAGTTGAATTGACTTGTTCTGGAGACATCTCACTGTCTTTGGCCAACCAAGGTTATAGGTGGTGTTGGATCTTCAAAAGTTTCAACAGAGTTTTAAAAAGGTAGTTTGGAAATTATGTAAGTTTTTCTTAGCAAGTCGGTGACCTTTCCATATGCAATCTACCCATCTGTAGAGGCCTTTTATTTTCTTTCTCCACTTCTCTTTTTTCTCCTTCTTCTTTTAATATCAGGAGAGTTTTCCTAGTAGGTGCATTGCTTTTGTCAGTGGTTGCCTTTTAGTTAGGAAAAAAAAATCTTGCTTCTGTGTTTTCTGAGAACAAGCCCTAGACAATGAATAATGCCTAATCAAGCAAGAGCCTAACATACAAATCAAAGTATCAACTAATGATTGTTGGGATGATTATTTTTAGGTCTATGGGTATGAGATGGCCTTCTGCACAGCTATAGCTAGATGAATGTACTTGCAAACCAAAAGCTCAATTAAATGAAAACCACACTGACAGTGACAAAGACTTTTCTAGGAAATACTAGTTCAGTTTCCATTTCTGGTAGTTTTCCATTCCTTTAAATTTCTATTTTGATTCATTGTTGATACCAAAAGTCCTGAACATACTTACTCACACTGGTTGCTGTGAACAACTTACTGTCATTTGTCAGAATAAATATTAAGAAATGGTTGCCAACATAGTGATTTGAGGCACCAGACAAATGCTGGCCCCAGTTAAGCTTGGTAGGAAGCTTTTACATACTTTTTAACCTTTTACTTATAAGAAGGTGATCATAACCTAAGATTGATTATCCATCTTTGCTGCTTCACTTTAGAAAAGTTTCATTTCTAAAGTTATTACTTAATTATGAATTTTACCCATCTGTCTAAAGTGTTACACGTATAGGACACCAATGTAATGATTAAATATATTTGTTTGTCATGTGTTGAAAGGCTTATATAATGTAGTGTAGTACAAGATTTTTAGATTATCAATAGACCCCAAAGATTCTTAAAATTCAGAGCTGTAACTTTTCTACAACGGACATTCAGAAAGCACAGGTGTTGCTTATAGATGAGCAAACTACATGGAAAATGCCACATC